ACTGCAAAAAAACAAATGGTTTTTTTTTTAAATTTCACACTGGGTAGGCCCCTTAACTTACTAATCTATTTCCAATAATTCCTGTACAACAGTTTTGTAGTTTGGAGCCAAATTATCAATCAAAAGCCGGACCAAGTTATTAAATGAAACAAATGAATATTAAATGAATCAAAACAATTTACTGTTTATTAGTATATTAATTATTACTCCCGAGTCGGGGATTAAATAAATGTACTGTAAGAAGTAAAATAATATTACTTACAGATGAAGAAATGACATAAGAATGTAATTAATTAGCTAAGTAAAGAATAATTGTACAATGGGGCTTCGAAGTGAATAAGGGAATCTAATTAGGATCTAACGAAGACTCGGCCAGAGGTTAACCAGGATTCGACCAAACACGATAGTATAGAGGCAATCGGTGGTTAATTGAAGCCTGACCAAGAAGCAATCAATGATGAGCCAGCTATTACATGCTCGATTAAAAATAAGAGCTTCGCTTGCGTTTCACATGCGATAAACACTTTGAAAACAAGAATTTAATTAAATTATTGTAATAACAATTACATACGCTAGTCCACGTTAAAGTATTATTCAAATAAATTGTTTGAAAAATAAGCTTGAAAGTAAAATATTATCTTATTCGACTGCATGTTATTTCAATTAATTTTTTTTTAGTATACTTGAACGCACAAATCATTTTTATTTGGGATTTATTTGAAATAATCTTTTATCTTACTTTTTATTTTGTTAAAATAACATTTCAAAAACGTTAGTTTTATATTTACACTTTCGTTTCATCCCTATTTCTGGTTTAGGCGCCAACTTCTTCGGAGCCAATCAAAAATCATTAATAAGGTATCTGCTCCTCCCTGGAGGATCACTAAATTGACAATAAGAAGCCACATGCAAGAGTTGCATGATGCAACGAATTTCTCATTCACCGATATGGAATTAACTCTTGCCTGTGATCTGAATAACCCACTTTAAATTCACTGAACCTGGCAGAGATCTAACTCTTACAGAATAATCGATAAAATTATTCCTTTTACTTTATACTCCATCAATAATAGAATAAATAAATAGAATGGTGGCTTTAGTGTTTGAAAGAATATTATTTATGAGATACGATTGAAAGTATTCTATGCAAGCAGATTTCTTTGGCTCATATATTTTTACGCGAAACACTTCGGTCCTGTTCTCCGAGCACTTTAAAGAACATCCGGATGCTTTTACGCGTAACGACACATCATCGCAGTGAAAATGAAGCGTCTAACATAAAACCAGGAATAATGCTCTACTCTAAATTTGCGTGTGATTACAAGATAATTCTGAAACTGACAAGCTTAATTCACAATTATATTACACGTCCTAAGTACAAATACGAAATTTAGTTTAAGAAACGTATGATTAGACTGCGGATTTTATGCATTTATGATATTATTATTATTTATTGTATATAATAATATTATAAATAAAATATAAAACTTATATTACAAAAGACAGTGTTTTGAATGAAACCAAAACCAGAGCATGCCAGATTTAACTTTCGTCTTTTTAAAGAGGTACTTGAACCCAAAAATCTTCTCGTATAAGAACGAAGAGTGTAGTCTCGTAATCCCACATTTGGCACCATTTTTGTCTGATTATCGATAAAACGAAGCAAAAAAACGTCCAAATTTTACCGGCAAATGCTAGAAAAGTCACGTGGCTACCCTAACGCCTTAAACGAAGTTTCTCACGGGAAGAAAACGACGAGACAAACTATCTACAAATCGTTTCTTGATTTTAATTGCCGGCACACGATATTCCGCAATTGTTAAACGAAAAAATATTCACCCGTAGTTCCCGTGAATACGACCTCGTCAACCATCTCGAAGATTATGAATCAGTTATTTTCATATTCGAAGCAATTGCTTTTCCTGATTGCAAGGACATTCTTCGATGAATATTTTATGAGGTTAATGCCAATACCTCAAGCAGCCCGTTCTTTCGATTGAAATATATTCGCGGTAGCACTTGTACATTGAAACTTTTCAAATCTGTTGAATAAATTCTATGCTCCCATAAAACAGCGCATATATCGACCATTGCCGACATTTCTGCGACTCGTTAAACTTTATTGAGTGCCGAAATCCTTTTCGCGATTTATAAACGAAAAATAAATTAATATAATTGCTGTCCGTAACGTCAAGACCGTTCGTACCGTTCGCATAGTGATTTAGAATCAATTTGAATAATAACACAAGGTACTCACCAAGGACGTGATGAGCAGCTGGTGTATCAACGGCGAAACCGTGCAGAGGAGCTGGGACTGTCAATTGTTCACTACGTTTTAATCGCCGCACGATTACTCGAACGCGTTTAATAGATCCGTGGTCATGATCGTTCGATTCTCACCGATCGTTACGTCGCGAACAGTTCGATAACGAGGGAACGGACGTTTCGCGTTCGCACGATATCAACATCGTGTTTCCACCGCACTGACGCCGATTCGTTAATCGGATCTGATAGCATTTAAAAAGCAAACGCGATTTAACCTAAGCTATACACTGTATGATACATTGCATCGAACAATTGCATCGACGAATCTTAGGGCTTGTACCTTTCGGGAAACTCGAATTCGGTATTGTCCCCTTTAAACGCGAAGTCACACGGTTTCCTTTTCGTCCTAATCGACTATTCATGTTCACGAGACAAGCTGCGACGGATCGTAAACGACGTTCTCTACATTAAACGCAGTGTTTACTTCATTGCACGCCCCGATGCACTTGGAGGTCTACATCTTCAGAGAATAACAACGAACAGCAAAATTGTCGCGCGCGTGTCAATCATACGTCACACTAGCTATTATGCGTTGAATGATCGTAACATTTCTGATTTTCTCCATTAACGAATGACTACTCTAACCGATTTTACTTTGATCGTTGCTTGTCTCGATATTTGATAACACGATGTAAACTATCTAGGCTTCTACTAAAACTTCGTTAAACTCGTACTTTAATGGCGTCCAAGTAAAAGTTATTGTACCCGCCAATATGCGTATTTAAGCGTCGAGGCAAATGTTCGGTTGCAATATTCTACGTAGAGGTAAATCAAAACAAAACGATGTAATGTAACGTTTTAGATAAGAACTCCGATTATGAAGCATTATTGTATTTAAAATGAACATTGAAATATTGTTTAGCCGGCTAGTTGGTCACGAATAGTTAAAACCGTTACCAAAGACAATACTCGTTATCAAACTAGATTCACTAGCCCGAACACGTTATTATTTAATCACACGACGTTCCCGGCGTCGTTTCGTACCGAAAAATCGAAGTAACGATACATAAACACTGAGAACGAGGAACTTTTCTAAACTGGAACTTCGAAAACTGCGAACCACGCGGCCACGCAGCGGCAACTGAACACTTGCGAGTGACAGAAACGTGACTCGAAGTGCGCGCACAACCACTACCGGCACGGCGGCGCTAGCGTCGCCTCACCCCTTCCAGAGCGAATCAATTCAAAATTCAAATAGCCGAAGATGCATCGATTTTTAACAAGTAACATTTCTAGATATAAGAAACTAAATATAAACTGTTCATATTAATAATACAATCACTGCTTTTCGTTACAATTCTAAAACGATATTAATGTAGTATTGATTTCTACAATAATTATAAGAAATCTAATAGTAATTGAGCATTACAAACATGAGGGTTTATTACTATTTTCGAGGCTTATCCTTGTCTCCATAAGGGAAACTAACGCAATCAAAAACGAATCAAGAATCATCGCTCGAACCTGATCGTCCGTCCTCTTAATGATAGATCACGTGTAAGTCATCTTCTGCATAATCGTCTTTAAACCGCGGTTAAAGAGCAGCTATCGTAGCATCAAATAGCAAGAGCCCTTTTAACTGGCTCTGTTCGTACAAGCGCACGAACTCGAGGGTGGCAATTTAACCGCATAAATTTATTGCCGCGTCATTGTCGTTACCGTCGAATCTGGCCCGGTTGTCGTTACAAGAACACGTGAGGCGTGCTGTTAATAGTCACGTGAACGCCGGCAATCTTTTTCCACGGCCGTATAATGAATCGAAGCTAAGTTTCTGCATAAGCGCGATATTAGATTTGAACCGAGGCTAGGAAAACCGTTTCACCCCATCCTCTTTACTAAGTTACACGCGGTTCAATTGTTCCTGCGATCCCATTGTTACTTCAACTCGTAGCTCGAATTAATGTTCAGTAGGAAAATTGGATCACTTTGTCCTACGCTAAGACGATAAAACGAAAACAACAAATTCCTGTGGTTTCTTATCTAGTTTTCGAAACACTTCTACACCTTTTTTCCTCTACAGATAAATAAACTGTGGATTTTATGCATTTATAAGAAAACAGACTAAAAAATATATAAACACTGCATGCAGTGTATATAAATAGAGGAAATATAAAAAGCACATTGCAATATCTAAGTGAGAAAAGTAACCGTTGTTTAAAACAGATTTTTTAATCTGTACCATAAATAATTTATTTTACGCGAAAATCTGCAGCCTACTGATAAATTATTTGATAACAAGGAGAGAGATCACGAAAGAGGTTCCATAAGCATCGTTAGTTTATTAACAATGTTACACGCACAATCATACATAAAACAACCTTGGTTATAGGTATCGCATGCCGCTCGTTTACAGAGACAGGCCTCGCTATATTGTTTTAAGTCGTTATCTGTATGCCATGTCCGTGTCGCCTGCCAGTAACTCGTGTCAATTTCACGAAAATCGACGGTTACTTTCTAAACGCCGGATGATGTAAAAAGAAATCAAAAGAAGAGGGAGAGACAAAGGATCCGGAAGGAAAGCGGCGGAAGGGATCGAGAAGATGGTCGCAAGATAGAGAAGAGAATGAGAAAAAAAAAGTACTAACACGTCCCCCTCCACATATAAAAATTACAAATTACGCTCAGCCGCGCTGGACTTTTAATATTATATATCTTACAAAATTTCTTTCTCTTCCTTTTGTTTCACGGCAAGAAATAAATATCTACATTTCCTTTGTATCTTTGGAATTTACGATTCGCGATCCCAATAAATCTCGGTTTTAGAGAGGAGCTCAGCGTTGTTCAGAGAAGGGAAAGGAAAATTGACAAATATCGACGACATTCAAGTTTCAATGATTTCTCCTTTATGAGATAAATTTTCCAACTAAGACCCTCCTGTCCCTTCCATTCTCGTTCTCGCTCTCGCTCATCTGAAAAATTGATCTTATCACGAAGATTAAGAGAAACGATTTCCGTTCTTTTCTATCCTTTGTACAATTGTATATATTTCAACTCGTGAATTTATATATTTAAGTATGTGTGCAGGGGCAGAAAGATGGAAATCCGCGACACAGGCGCAAACAAAACGCATCTAATCGCGAATCTCTTCAAAAACGTGCCCTTTCATCCTCTGCGTTGCCTTCTAAAACGCTTACAAAATGCACTGAACAATAAAATTGCATGCGATATTACCGTTGCGTTCTCAGCGCGTTTGAGTTTGTGTAAGTTATTAGTTTCTGAATGCACAGGACTCGAATCCTGTTGAAAAATGCTACACTACCCTTTTTCCTCCCTTTACCTCACTTTTCAATCAAACATTACAAGCCACTGGGAACCGTTTCCTTTATTCGCGCCTCCAAGAACACCCACTTCTGTGGTGAATCATACGAACGAGAAAGGAGAAACAAAGTGCTAAACAAGCATGTAGATGTAATGTACTTATACTGTAATCTTCGACAGAAAGATACTACATTGGGTGCCATCATTTTTGTTCAATGAGTAACTTCCGTCTCCTTTCTCCGTTCTTAAAACTGTTCCACGAAGAAGTGCTTCCCCGCAGTCGAAGGAGATGGGAAGTCTATTTTTCTCTCTCTATCATACTTCTCTCATTATGCATTACAATATCTCTCTCATTACATTTGATTCGCCGTTTTGTAGGATTGATTACTTATCTAATCCTTCTTCACTTCGGTAAGAGAATATCAAACGATATCAGGATCATCTCTCGTTCTTTTCTTTCATTTTCTAGAAACACTGATCGACTGATTTAGAATCTTCAAGATCCTAAAGACATTTCAAACGTGATCAGCACATTCTTTTAATAAAAGGTATATGCAGAGTTGTAAAAAACGAAGAATTTTGCTGCGCCTTTTCTTCCTGGCGAATTTCTAACGAGACATTCCCAGAAAAGAAAATGCGAACAACATTTTATAATATCATAAAACGATTTTGCAATCGTAACAAGAAAAAAAAGTGTTTGGGAAATATTAAAAAAATAAATTTTATTCCGACGTAAGATAAAAATCATCTTCGTCACTTAGAATCTCTTCTAATAAACAAAAAGAAGTTTAAAAAAAAGCAAAAATTCGATTCTCCGAGTACGTATTCAGCAGACCGTTCTCTACTAATTTTACGTAATTCATTGATATGTTCCCTTAGAAATTGGCCAATGTCAATTATTCTTTCACAAGATTCCATGTCTTTTACCACCTGAATTCCAAATTCACGAGAAATTGATTTCGATTGGCACAAGAAATTGCTTATCGATGCAGGATAAACGTAAAATTATACGTATTCTCAAAAATAAGAAAAAAAAATAGTACGTTCTTGTACAAAAAAAAACACAAAAATTAAGAGAGACTGAAGCGAACGTCGAAACAGAAGGCTGAACGAGCTTTCTAAATTCGCAAACTCTAAGAAAATAAATACGTACAATAATTACACCCGATACAGTTACTATCACCCATACTGGCAATCGATCGTTTCAAATTACCTTCGTAAAACATTTTTCATTCGTTCAAAACGAACTGTAATTAGTCCTAGCAATCACGGTCAGCAAGCCTCTCTGTCCCTATCTCCCTATATTGTTGCCTCGTCTTGCTATCATTTTATATCTTTTGTATCCATAAGGAAATAGTAGATTGTGTTATCAACCTAACAATGTACTTCCGTTTACACACATACACATTCTATACTTTGCATGTAAGTAATGCCTATTTTCCAAAAGTATGTATGAAATATGCTTCGACCAGGGAAATCATCGCGACTCATGAAACCTTCAATAATATTTCCGTCATCGAAAAAGAACTCTTCCCTACTTGTCGATTTTTCATGCACTCTTCCTCTCTTAATCTTATTCGAGTCCAATACGTTTCCGCGATACCTTGTGACCTGCGATGCACTTTATTCTTACAGGAGACGAACTTCTTTTTGTACTATAGATCGTGACAAGGTACCACAGCTACGCGCGACGATTCATCGGCTTATCGTTGCATATCGTCGTTATCGAGTCGGCGATTAATGCAATAGGTATGCATGCATACACCATTTCATAGGTAAAACCTTCTGCACGAAAAAAGTTTCACCAGTTTAGTTGCATTTTACGCTGACTGTCGATTCCATCGGTATTTAATTTATCTTTCCGATATACGAACACGCACGATTTTACGTACTGGTAAGTCTGTTTAAAAATAAATTAAGTGTACTTCTACTACTTCTCCGGACAGTTCTACTCAATGATCGACGATATTCATCTGAAAGGCGAAAATAATCGTCGTGGACGAAATTGCGTATGCACACATATGTAGATTGAAATCACGCAGGAAAAATGATTAAACACCGGAAAAAATATTCCCGGAGGAATAATACAACGTGTTCGTTGATCGATGTTACGATGAATGCGTTCCAACTTACTCAGTGTATCTAAATCGATACTGTATCGGTACAGTAATTTTTTTACATTTCTCCATGACTTACGATTTAATCACGAACAGGATTCATGATGTAAAAACAAGTGCGCCGTTGCACGCAACGCGTTCACTTTTCCAGTTTTCATTCCAGTTGGTCATTTTCCTGTTTTCCTCATTTTTTCCACGGTGCATTCTCTGCACGGCATTTTTCTTTCGTCGATGTCGATGCGCATCGGTAAAATTTGAAAATTCAATACACAGGTGTATATATTCGTTTAATACGAGATGCGTGCTTAATGAGGAGTTTCCCTTAACGATTAATCTTACGTGTATTTAATATATGATGCTTATGAATTTATGAGCTACCATACTAAAGGAAAAACATACACCACTGAAAGATTATATCGTTAGTTTTATCGCGATCGCCCTCATTATACTCGGATCGCCGAAAGCTACGTTTGCACTGTGCATACGCCCGGTGGAGGCCACGATGTTCACATTGAGTTCATCAGAAACGCTGAACATCGCCGCGCTGCCACCATATCATATATAGGTAGTGAAGCACATTAAAAACATAGCAATAAGCTAAGTAATATGCAAATATTGGAAAACCTCCACTAATTCTATGCAAAGTATAGCTTGTAGAATACCATTCATTAAAACTAGGACTTATCGTTAATATGATTATGATCCGTGCTTTTTTTACTCTCTTTTTCTGTTCCTTTCACTTTTCTTATTTCACAGATCTTCATTCCTATGAATACCTTCATGGACAACATGAACGCTAACAAACTTGCCTTCGCTAGTCGATTTCGAGACGAAAACAAATTTGCCAGACCCGTTTTCCTTTTTATTTCGCGATCACTATATTTATAGAAATGAGACTATTCTTATTAACAATTAGAATTTATGTACAATGTAACAGACTGGATGCAATCTTCTCTTTTATCTCTCGATGTCAGATAAATTATAAGTCGAGCTCAACTGACAATGCCCTGCCACGTCACGCTGAATGATGAAAATAAGTGAAAATGATTTTTTTTCCTCGTCTCGTTTCTGCGTGATACTGTCCCTCCTTTTGTACACGTATAAAACCGTTCCGAACGGAATTAAGCCGCTAACGGTCACTTAACACGTGCGTCCACACGCAATTTTGCCAAAATATTAGCTATCACTTCAACACGCATATCGATACGCAGAGATTGGTTAAAATCTATTTCAAAATGGATCAGAAATTGAAATAACTTTTACCAAATCCCCTTTGCGTAACGTGTCGATAGTTCAATCAAGTAAATTGACAAATTTGCACGCGATTCTATCTACACGTACACGTTATACATCAGTTTTACTGAAAGATAGAGGCTCGTATCTATTTACTTCTCACGAACTACCATTCGAGACTATACATACATATAATATGTAAATTAAAAAAAAATATATTATTTTTACTTGTTGAATCTCGGTGGCCTCCTCAATCGCGGTATCAATTCTGTCCTAACTGTTCTGGCGTAACTCGGTGCAGCGTATTGATCGGTCACAGCGATCGGACTTTGCAAGCTTTGTATGAACATCGGCGAGTCCTGCAATTGTCCCACGCCCGCCGCCGCCTGATATTGGTATTGGCTATTCGCTAGGTCCGTCGCCGTCGCGAAATGATTCGGTTGCACGAATTGAGGAGCGTTGTCGTACTGCGGATACGGAATCGAGCTTTCCGCGGAGAACTGAGGAATCACTGGATTCACGTTCACCGGTGTCGTCGCAAAGCTGCCAGGATCGTATGTCTGATATTGATTCAACTGACCGATCTGCGTGGTGCTAAACGGTGGTGACTGAGGGAACTGGGACGTATCGGGGAATAGCACGCTGGCCACGGTCGGCTGGGGAAAACTGTCCGGTCTAGGGTAAGGCGACATATTCGCAGTAACGTTACTCAAACTCTGAACGCTCGGTATACTAGCTATCTGCGACGTGCCGTAGCTATGAAACGTTTGCCTACTGGGATCGAGCTCCTTCACGCCGGCTTGCAACGAGCTCGCCACGTTCACCTTCGATTTCGAATTCGGACCGGCTATCATCTCGTTATGCTTAGTTCGCGCCTCCGTTACGAACGGGTGGCGAACGTTCACGATGCTCTGCGGCGCGCGCAGTGGTGGAAAATTGATCGGTGCCATTTTCGACGCCTGATTCTGCTGCTCCAACGCTTTCCTAGCTACGGCAAACGCGGTATTGTCGTTCCTCGACGCTGGCTGAGAATTTCCATCGTTCTCTTTGTGCAACGCTGAAACCGACGACTGATTCGCGAATCTCGACGACAAGTTATTCATCGTCGCGCTACTCCTCGGTTTGTAATCTTGAGTGTTTACAGATTCCTTGTAGTCCGACTGGATCTGATAATTCTTCATCTTCGAGTCGATGTCGCTGGAGAACTTTCTCCCGGTGTAATCCTTCGACGACTTTGTAGTGCCTTGCACGCTATTGAACGTCGAAGTAGATTGATTTATAATCACGTTCTTCGACAACTGTTCGTTAGATTTCAAATTCTCGTTGTTCCCGGCGTTCTTTTTCATCGATGGATTCATTCTACCGGAAACTGTTCCACTCGATGTCGTACCGATTGTACTTAACGCGGTTTGCTCCTTATTATTCCCCATTGCTGGCCTGGCCAACGATTTTAATAATCTATTTTTGTTCCCCACGTGCTCAAGTTTCTGACTGTTTTTACCCTTATCCGATGCCTGGTTGCTCGATAAAATGTTTGAATCTGCATTGTTATTTTGATTTTTTGACAGGATACTATTGTGGGACTTGCTGGTGATGGTGACAGCTGGCAGGAACGAAGCGCTGGCTCACTTTTTGGTCATGATCTTCAAATATTCTAGAGCGTTTTGAGCAGCGCTGGCTTGAGCATCCTTACTAGTAACACCGCAACCGTAACAGACTGCCACTGGTAGAGTGGACAATTGCACAAGGCACTGGCATTTACCTGGAAAAAACAAAGTAACGTTGCTTAGTCCAGTCGACCGCCAATTTCATACAGATTGCATACACATTGGAGATAACAGATGCAAGTTGTGATAAGCTGTGTCACAGGTCACAGATATACGTACGAAACAAATATAAGGCTGCGCAAAATAGTTGAGTTTCATTATCAAGTAAATTACACATAATATAAAATACGTAATACATAAATATTTTTAACATAAATTACACTAAAATAAATACTAAATAAAACAAAAGTGAAAAAATTCTTTTATATAGCTTTTAGAGATTTAAACATTTTTTCAAGGAAGTACATCAAACTTGAAAGCAAAAGTCCTTTTTGCAGAGCATTCAGGAAGAGGTGCATAATGAATAGTCTAAATCTGGCAAAAGCTGCTCTGCGCAAGAAGGTCAAAGACGTGATTAAACAAATTACTATCGAGGAGCGACAAAAGCAGTCCAAGAAGGTGTTTGAAAAAGTCAGTGTTAAATAATTTAAATCCAATATGTGTGCGAGAGGTTAGGGTTAAACTTTTTAAATTGGAAACTATTCGACTAACAATTTTATTCCAATGGACAGCTCCGTTCTCTGCCATTATTTCAAAAAAGTAAACGAGTCTCCATATATTTGAGCACGGAAGATGAAATCGATACAACACAGATATTAAAATATATGTTTGATACAAAAAAAGAAGTATTTGTTCCTACGTATAAAGGAGGGGAAATGAAAATGGTCAAGTTACTATCCATAGAGGATTATGAGAAACTCCCGTTAACTAAATGGAACATCAAACAACCAAAATTTAATGAATCTAGAGAGAATCCATTAGAGAATGGTAAGTTATTAATAGACTACGAATTTGTATGAAAAATAAAACATTCGTGTTGTCAATTTACAAAGTTAAATATAGATTGAAAATTTTTTCCTTCTCTAAAATTAATGATGTGTATTATATATTTTACATTCTTCATACCTTTCCATATTGCATGCATCTTTTATATTTTCTGCATATCTAATTTTTCTATGGATGCAGAAAGTCCGCAGCCTTGTTTTTAAATTATTCTTTTAGAATAAGAACTCTTTTTTAATAACTAATAAAACTAATAAAAAATCATGCGTTAGGTGGACTGGATTTAGTAGTTGTACCAGGCGTTGCGTTTACTGCCAGTGGTAAGTAAAATTTGATTTATACAATACAGTTAAGCCCATAAACTTTCGTACACGGTTCAAAATTGAATTTTTTCAATATTGGACTTAAGGGGCTAGGATGAGCATGTGAAACGTGTACGAATATTTATGGAATTCACTGTAAATCCAAATGAATAAGTTCTTATTAAACTAACTAATGAATTACCAATCAGGAAAACGCTTGGGACATGGGATGGGTTACTACGACAAATATCTAAAATCTTGTCTGGAGAAACAACAAACAAAACCACATTTAATTGGAATAGCATTTAATGAACAATTACGGGACGACGTTCCCACGTCTGAATACGACGTACCCATGGATCTGGTGCTTACAGAAAAATGAATAAATATTAACAACTTACCGCTGATAGACTTCTCTTCAATGTCAACATAAGTCACTTCGAATTGCTGTTCCGAGGCAATTTCTTGCAAAAATTGTACCAAATTCACGTCGCCATCATTCAAACAAGTGTTCTGTAACAAAAATTGACAATAGACGAATTTTAATATAACATCTTTGCACATACAAATCGAAATAGCATTTTAAAATAATATATGTTCCGATTTATTACACAACGAACCTGCAATTCAAACAGTTTAACGCCGCTGGACGACTTCAGAGTTTTATGAAATTGTGAAACCTTAAGACTATGAATAGTAGTTAGTGTTGAAATTTTGCTACCCTTCAAATCAGCGTAATGGGCACTCATGTTTGCATTTCTTTGCAAAACCTATAACGGACAATTAATATAGAGAAACATTTAATTACATGCTCATCATTGGAGGAAGATCGCCAATGATTGGGCTTACGAACACAATGAAGTGGAATTGATCCAAGCGCGTTACCGGAGAATTAATACGCTGCTGTGTAAATAACTTAAAATAAAATCCTATATACACACAAGTTATAGACTCGAAATTTGAACAATCATCCGTTATAGATTCATGGTGATCAGAAAGGTAGCTTACATTTTGTAAATACTGCCTGCAGTACCAAATCGCTTCCACTTCACTGATCGTACACACACATACACAAAAAGACACATACGAGTACACAGTTTAAGCGGGTAACGTGTTAAATTGTGTTTCATACAGCCACGTATAAATATGGCATTTAAATTCAAGTAAAAACTTAATTAAAAAAAAAATATAAGAAATCTGTTGTTACCTCGTCGTCGTCTAAATTTGGGTTTTCATTATTCATATCGTGCAAAGCTTGCCACATTTTATGGGCCGCATGTCTCTTCGCGACTTTCTTGCTTTTCCCTTGTCCAACTTCGCGATATTTTAAAATCGAACAGACGATCGTGAATTGCCTTTCGTGCGGCAAACCTTCTTCATTTTCTATTGTATACTTTGGTGGAGGCCAGTGACGCGACATGCACATTTCTTGTAACGCTCCAATCGGGTTTGTAATTATTTTTTCTTCGCCGTATCCTGGCAACTCTTGCAAGCTCTCAGAACTACTGCATTGACGTAAGATAAGGATAATTACATTGGGGTACATGCGTAATAGTGTATGAAAAGATATATATATTCATTATTATTACTCTGGTATGTTATTTTGTAGCGGAGAGTCCGGTGATTCACTATTTAGTCTGCACAGTTTATCCAGTACAGCTCTAGCAGCAGCGTGCTTCGCTTCTTTCTTTGATTTCCCAGTCCCCATTGCTGAAACCATTAGGTCTGCTTCAATTGTAATGCGTTTATTAATCACCATTCGCGTTTTATAACATGGTAAACATAAAATTAAGTCTACTAGATGATAAAATCGACTTAATAATTAGATTGCACATTTTATGCATTTAAAGAATTATACAAAGTTCGTCCAATGTCCAAGAACACACGAAATGTCAAGTATGAAATGCATATTATGATTTTTCAAATACAAAAGAAATTCCTATTCAGATTCATTTACTACATTGACAAATGGTTTAATTTACGTAAGGGACCCGTAGTTTGTTAATAACGTTCCTTATAGTATTAATAACTAAAATATCAGTGAGTTATCAAAATTAAATACAAACCAATAATGTCAGCAACGGTGACGCGGTAACGGAAAATAGGCTCGTGGATAGCACCTTCAACTTGTATTAACTCATACTTTGGTGTCGTGCCCCTACGAGAAAGCAATTCCTGAAGAATAGAAACTGGCGTTTTGTTCGGCATTGACTTCATCTCCAATTGAGCGGCCTCACTTATCGGAAGTTTTTCCATTATCAAATTGTGTAACGACAATCGAACTCTTTTACGCCGATTAACGTTATTCGAATGGTTCGAAACGACACCTACACTGGCCATTGCATTAGGCCCAACCTGTTGTGGTTGATGCATTTCTTCCATTTTTGTGACCTATAATTAAAACAAGTTCTAAGAAAACTTATTCATTATTATGAATCTATAATTAGTTTACACTTAAAAACATAATGAATTTCGTGAGTTCTGTACTAATGAGGATTTTATACATCTAGTTGTAGAAAATAGCTGGGTATAATGCAAAAAAATATAGAAAATCTCACAAGTGAATGCATATTGCAGTGCTTACACGATAAAAGAAATTTCAATCAGGAATGAATTCATTTCATTGTTTCCTATAAATGTTTTAAGATCTGCACTGTACTAATCAATCTTATTTATAGCTTATAAAACTTATATGAGTACTTGTATACATATATATATACATACATGTAATTGACATGTATGTTTAATTCTTTATTTAACTGTGGATTGTATCGTACTGAAAGATTATTTATCTAATCTTACTACGAGTTCTAAATCATAAAATTCCCATTAGTACATAAAGATTCATTGATGATAAAAATATCTGTAAACACCAAAGGTATGACAATCTACTTTTTTATCAGTTAATTTTGAAATCAATCCTCGAGAATGTAGAGCAATTTTTGAAAAATATTCACGTGATGAATAAATAGAATTTGTTGAAAATCACGTTAATTGAACTCGACATTTCACCACTGCACTTTCCTACATTAGAGTACTGTGAAAAGTAAAACAATACGAGACGATACTAACATGTTGGAACTGTAATCGACACGATGATAAAATTCTAAAAATGTTTTAGCGAGCTTATTGACGAACAGAAAGTGTGTAGAATATAAAACGGCAGGAAAACCGGTTGGCGGCCATGATTGTTATAAAATTCATTGATTAATTCTAGTACGCGAAGCGTAGAAAATTCAATAATAAAAACACTGAGGCGAAATCTTGTTATGACTCGATCAAGGAGAGAACCAATAACGGCGTACGTCGTTGGCGAAGGTTCTATTTAAAACGACGGCGAGGGGAACGCTGTACAGGAACGAACCGGTCGACAATATCGTCCGCTACAGAAAATCGGGGAAAGTCACCAATTTTTACTCACAATTTTTGAACGATCTGTACAAATGATCTGCCTCCCTGACAGGCCAATTCCTATGCGAAAAGCGAATCCCGCTTTTTGTGATCGATCCAAGTTTCACAAAAAGCTTGATCCGTTTAACGACAGAAAAATGGTTTGCTGACTACCGGAGAATCTTCCTCGTTTCTGGCTCTGCCGCAGTACGCGATGTGACCAGCTTTTCTAGACGCAGAACCACGCACACCGTTCTGCGCAGGTGCATTATTGGCGGTCTCATCGAAACAGATGTTCAATTCTATTCAATTCTTAAAGTAAAATTTCAAAACGTAAGCATACCAGTCAGGATTAAAAAATATTTGCAACATCAATTTGACTTTAATCAATTCAGAACCCTGGTATTTATTATTCGAATATTAAATATATATAGAAAGATAATGTAGAGAAGAAATAAATATAAAAGAATGATTTATATTTAATGATAATATATAATAAATAATACGAATAGTACCTCATTATAATAATGTAAATTAGACTATTACGAAATTATAATATTCAGTATGTTATGTAATATACTATAACATTTTAATTTAATTTTATAATATGAAATGAATTCGCATTTTATGTATCAGTGAAGTTCACTGAGTGAACTACTGTAAATACAGCAATGTTAAATATCGTTTTATGTTTAATTTAACGTATTTCAAGCGACACTCACTATATATATATATTTTCAAATTTAACTATCGTCTCTTGGCAACACCGGATGTTGGTATGTTTCGCTGATCATTTCCGGTTGTTGCCCGCTGAAACGATCCAAAGATTGGTACGCCATTATTGGATAGTGACGCTACAGCTCATTATTCCAAACGTTTTTCCTGCTTTTTGCTACATTCTACGTTATTTATTGATGGTTCGAGTTTCACAATGAGTGACATTGAGGTAATTCTTATAGTTTTCTAGTGTAAACGACAATTCTATGTGTAATTTTTTGTACACCGAAGCCGCAACGGCATGCGGCCGACCACAGCCATTATCGATCCAACAGCGTTTAACTGTTTTTCGTACATATTACGACTCTACTACACTTTCCGCGCTTTCAAGCGTTTAATAATTCATCCAAATTAGTCTTAATTATATATTACTATCGTTTCTCTATTCTTGTATAGCTAATTCTCATTGTAAATGCAATGTCTTAATATTGAATTAAAAGGTTAAGCTTTCCCCTCCTCAGGCTTAAACGAATATTCTGCTTTTGAATGCTATTTTTTATTAAGTAATCTGTAGAAATTCTTTCTATAATCATTTTCCATTAACCATTTGCCATTTTGGCATATCATTCATTGATATTTTAAATACATCACGAATTTGTTTGAAATGAAAACAAAATTGCTTGAGTTATATTTTGTTTCGTTAATAGTACTTTATAACAATTGTATTGACAGTTCATATGATTTGGGATTTTCTGCTGATCTAATACAGACAGTTGGCTTGTAATTCTCGGTCGTAGTGTAAAATTGAGCTAAGTACAAACGTTTGATTGTCAATGTAGTTTTTTTGCACACGTTATCTTTGATAATAATTTTAAATGGTCTCTTTTGTAAAGATTCAAGTAAGTGTAATACATTAACCGTCCCATTCAGTGATGCATGGTTGCAATATTGTGAAAAAAGGCATAGTACATTTATAGCAAAGATTTTTGGTTCACGAGGTTTGCTAATTTTCTAAAAAGAAAAAGCAGATACATAGTTTTGTAATTACGTCAGTTATGTGATAGTTCCATTTTACATGACTATCAATTTGCAGCGAGATCACATTATTCTTTCTATAATGTAAACTATGTTATTTTATCTATCCAACAGAAAAGGGAATAAAAGAACACTGAATTACATTATGTTATGCTTGCACTTGCAGCGAAGCGGTAGCCGCAGCGCGAGCCCTAGAAGGCCAAGAACGGCGGACGGAGGTTTAAGGGACTCGCGGTCACATTCAAGATCGCGAAAATCGCGAGAACGCAAAGAATCTCACCGACCATTGAAAGAATATTCAAGATCGAGAAGCCGATCGGTATCTAGGGGAAGAAAATCATATCGCAGCAGCAAGTATACCAGTGCAGGTCATCGCGGTAGTAGTCGCAGTCGTAGTCGTTCTCCTTACAGGGGTGGGCGATATTCTCGAAGCAGATCTCGTTCATATTCCCGTTCCCGTTACTCTCGGGAACGGGACAGAATCATCTACCGTTCACACTCCCGTAGCCCGATGTCGTCTCGGCGACGACACGTCGGAAACAGGGACAACCCTTGTCCTTCCAGATGCTTAGGCGTATTTGGTCTTTCTATTTTTACAACTGAGCAACAAATACATCATATCTTTTCTAAATATGGACCTGTCGAACGTGTGCAAGTCGTAATCGACGCAAAGGTACGTACAATTTTATATATCACAAAATTCGTTATTTCATTTCGATAATAAAGTCGATTTATTATTGATGATTGTAATCCCTGAGTTATTTTTAGGAAAAGGGTAGATTAATTTATACCAGAGATTTAGAACGTTCACGGTTAAGTACACGTGATACGTTAAAGGCCTCTGGTTACATTTTGATCCACATAGACAAGAAGTCGAATGCTAATCTCTAACCTTGCATCATTTTTACTCAATTATAACTGTGCATTGTTGTATTTCAGACTGGACGTTCCAGAGGATTCTGTTTTGTATATTTCGAATCATCTGAAGATGCTAAAGTAGCGAAAGAACAATGCACAGGAATGGAAATTGATGGACGAAGGATAAGGGTAGATTTTTCAATTACACAGCGGGCTCATACGCCGACTCCAGGAATTTATATGGGGAAACCTACACATCTACACGAGAGATGGGACGGGCCCAGGAGGAGAGAGTAAGCTATTTCAGTATTTTATTTTATCAAGTTGTCCCAAAAGTTCTTTTCTTGCTAAACATTAGATGTAGAATATTTTACATTTTGTATAATATCATTGAATTATACAAAGTCTCCTAACATGACGGCTTCGAATAACTCGTGAGGCATTCATTGTATAATAAAAATTTTTAAACAAATGTTGCATGACTTCCAGGGGAACATGCGATGCTATGATCTTTTTTCTTCTTTCTTTGCTTTTTTATCGTGACGTGACGGTTAACTTATTCAATAAAGCCCCAGATTCTGATATATATACCAATGAGGGGTTAAAATTAATAATTACCGAAATATTCTTAAGTTCTTAATTAATCTTCTGTTAGGGAATATTTTATGCGCACAGCGATTCATACATCCAAATATTATTAAATGATTATGAACCGTCGTTCAGGAAGCGTTTAATGCTTCTGCTATTTCACGTATCGTGGCTTGTCATAAGGATGTATTGGCTATACAGTCAATCCCAAAAGTTTATGTACCTTAGAAAAACGCATTTCCTATAATTATAAAGAAATCAGACGTCGGAAGAACA